TTCGTTCGAACCCCCGAACCCCCCCCCCCCCTGGCTACGGGCCTGTACTATATATTATCATATATAAGATTTATTTTAGTGTTTTTTATTAGTGCACCAGACCCAGACCTGACCTAGCTCAGCCTATCTCTAGAACCATAGAAATAGATAGATAATAATAGATAGGTTATATCTATCTATTCCTATGTCTAGAACTATAGCCCTCCGCTCCGCCGCAGGCCTGCATGACCCTACCATGCCATGCACAGACAGACAATTATAGACTAAGGAATAATGTATGTAAGTCTGTGATATGACCCTAACCAGCAGGATATAGCATAAAGAGCATAAGACGCATAAACAATTTATATCCATAATTTATTTCCAATTTATTTCCATGGCAGTCAAAAGCAAAGATCGTATAGTGCCGGAGGCCCTCCTCATATCAAACTCCACGACAGATGGCGCTCTCGCTCTGGCTCAATTCTACTGAGTGTGGTCCTACTAGTGGTCAATTCTACTGAGTATTATCCTGAGTGTGGGAAGGGGCACTGCATGCAGTTTGTCCTCATATATAGGGCCTCCGGCACTATACGATCTTTGGTCAAAAGCCACTGATCGCGACCAATAGGGCACGGCCGCGTCAGAACGTCATCTCGCAAGTAAATCGAGAAATTAATAAATGAAGAGAAATTTAGACTCACGTGTCAGCGTACGTACACATTACTGGTTAGGTACTTTAGCATAAAAATTATGACGAGTTCCTGCTGTTATATATATAGGTTATAACACACTACGCGTAACGCTTTCTCCCCATATTAGAATATATGCTTCAGAACTGCCCTAGCGAGGCTATACTGTGCACTTCAGAACTGTTTTAAATTGGATGCCATTCAAGTATTTTTTCTAGTATTGTATCCATGCGATGCTGAACGACATCTTGTGATACGACTAGCCCGAACGATAGCCCGTGAAAGCAAGAGCGTCGAAAGGGCGTCTGTAACGTGACAAGCCTCGCGCTTGGCTTATCCAGCTTGACTGACCATGCAGTAGGCCCTATCCATTTTTGCATCTAGCATACTAAATATCTTTGCACCAGCGAACCTGTGCGTGACCTCCACCAAGTTAGGAGTCTTCTGGTGGTCGCGCTTGACCGCTTTATTCAGGTCCGACACCGTCCTTTGGATCTAAATCCCGGCGCACACGTGAGTATTTTTACGCATGCATCATTTTACTGAGTAAAATTACTCACGTGTGCGCCGGACGTAAGCACACTCGATCGCAGCCCCCCCCCCCTCCACGCTTTTGCGTGAACGTCAGACTTGACACCCAATCGGTCGGCTCGGTCACCCCCATTGCTTCCATTTTGCTGAGCTCGTTGCCGCGGCTGGATCAGATACTTTCGAGGTGCACGTACAACAGGTGCTACTGTTAGGTCAACTGCAATATGATACTCGCCTGGGAAGATGCCCAATGTGTCGAACGAGTATGGAAACAGCCTCTCCAATTCATCTATGCTGCCGATCGTATGTGAGGACTCTTGTGTTTGTTGAGCATATGTCTGTGCCGACGTCATCACATCGAAGACTATATGTTCATCAGCTTGCAGCTTGCTATCCCGAGGATAGCAGGGGCATCACACTCTGGCTGCTATGTACATAGAATGTCATCGCAGGCTTTTCGCCCCATGCTGCTTTATATCGCTGCCAGCCGTTATATAAGCTGATAATTTGGTTCCCGGTTTGAGTAAGACCTCTGCAGGCTTGGTTAAACCATCAGCATCTAGTTTCTGCGGAAACGTTAGACGGTATATTTGCAGGGGAAGAATGTTCCCTTCAGCGCTTTAATGTGTAGGTGACAGGTCTACGTATAGCCCGATGTTCACCGTTGGGTGCGCAGATGCAGCGTTATGCAAGACAGGGTCTCTCTGATGATTCTCACTGCGTCATTTACGTCGCGACCAAAATCATCGGTGTCTGCACTGTCTTGCTCAATATCGCCGACTTTTCTGTGAAAGCTCAACTGCCCCCGTTCATAATTGCGACTGTGAGAGCCACCTCGGCGTCGGCCTCTACTTCCGTACGGTTGCGAATTATCACGCGGCCGCGACTTATCTCAGTGACGAGATTTCGATCTGTTGCGGCACGATTTATATTAGCCCAGTGATTTGTACCGCCGCATTTGCTGCACGTTGTGCCTCTTTCTGGAAATCCCTGGCTAGACTTGTGCCGTGTTTCACCACATTGCGGACAACGTTTGTCGTGGCAGCTATCGCCGCCGCGCCCACGTTGCATGGCATCAGCGTGTTTTTGTTCTCCACCTTGTATGCCCTCAAAGGCTTGTTGGTGGCTAACCGATAAAGTATATATGCGGCATGCTTCAAGAGCTTTTTTCAGCGTGTATTTCTTATTCTTCACTAGTAGATCCTTTTGAACGTCGGCGTGTTTCGAACCGTACGTCATCTGCTCTATAACTCGTTCATCTCGGTTATCACCAAACTTGCATCGGTCCGCTAGATTTTTGAGCCTGCTGACAAAGTCATTGTTCGACTCGTCACTGCGTTGCTTCATGTGTTGGAATGTAAGCTTTTCCACATGAAAACTAGACGTCGGCTCTATTTGTGCAGTGAGTTTTTTCCATACCACATTTTCATGTTTCTGCTCGTCGGTTGACAGTCCCCCAAACTGTTGAACATCACGAAAGCTTCATCGCTGGTTATGAGCCATATATGCGGTACTTAATTGCTTGTCGCCTGCACGTTCTTGGAAGCCAAAAATGTCATTACTTTCTGCTTGACCAAATTGTAGGTGCCTACTCGATCAGCTCTCGACCAGTCCAGTTTTGAATCCTTCCATTTTCCTAACATTGTTAATTTTCGGGACGCGGGATTGCACTATTTTATTTATCCGGGATCGGGGAGATAACAGATCAACTTATTGTAGTTCGGGAATATATTTATGTTAGCCAGGACGCGGGATTGGACAATTCAATAATAAGGAAACCCGGAAATACCAGAAAATTATCTTGGGCAGAACGATGACAAGGTCTCGAAGAATCATAACTATTTATTCCACAATTAAGCCCGTTCATAATAGTATACGGACACCAGTAAATTGTGTTTTAACAGTAATTATATAATTAATTATCCGGTAAATGCTCACGTAACTTTTTGGTAACTGTCAATCGTGATTTCAATGCAACGGGAACTTGCGAATGGTATAATTATTTTTATTTTATTTATTTTATTTTATTTTATTTTTATTTATCCATTTATAATAATGGGAAACTGGAAATGAACCCCCGTTTACCTTCTTTTATTATATATCGTAGGCTTTAGCGTAGCTGGTCATGCTGAAACGATTCCTCATTGGATGGACTCATACAATCACGTATTGCCTTGTTGTGTTGCAGAGCCTAATATATAGTATCATGAGAAACAACGTGATTAATTTTTTTTTATCAAAATTTCATAGACCATGTAACTAGTTTCTTGCACTCATAAACATGTAAATTTTATTCCTATATAGGCCTACTAAAATCGTATATACTAAAATTGCAAAAAAAAATATTTTAATAAATGATATTTGAGAACATGACATAATAAAGAAGAAAGTAGTGTCCTGATTAGACTTAATTGACACTACTTGATACTGAATAAACTATGACCAATGACAATACTGACAAATAGTTATACTGAAAGCTGAAAAGAATAGCTTAGTTATACATTTTAACGGTGTAGATAATTCAGAGTCGGAATTCGGGCATTTATTTTTGATCGATTTTGCAGAAAATAATTCTTATATGTGTCGGTTCAACAGAGATAAAATAAATAGTTGTTAATTATTTGTAACGGTTGATCGTGTGGCTGGCACGCACTTGAACTGCTAATTCGTCCATGACTATAGAATTCTACTTAATCTGAAGCAAAACTCACGACGAATCAATTAATAATATAAAGGAACACAGATTCGTACACACATAGAAATAATATACCAGTTAGGCTATATAGCTTAGTGTCTCTATATATTTCTACAAGTACGCGATATTGACATCAAGCATGGAGCGCATGGGCTGTCCATGCGCAGAGTGGCACGAGGTGGGAGCTAGCAAGATAATTTTTATGTCACCGGAAAATACTCTAACAATAGATCTACCAATTGCCCGCTCATTCTTGCTACAAGCGGAAAATAAGTGCAATAACATAATGACAAGTTAGTATATTTAATATATATGACGACATATATGACGGTTCAGTAATCACCTAACGCGCATGACGCAAATCGGCGCGCATGCACGTACAAATAACACGCACGCGCGCACGCACGTACAAATAACACGCACGCGCGCAGCCACGTCAAATAACACGCACCACGCGCGCACGACGTACAAATAACACGCCTCGCGCAACGCAGTACAAATTAACCGCAGCGCGCGCCGCACGTAACATATACACGCAACGCGCGGCACGCACAGCGCACGCACAACATTATATATATACCAATTATGCAACGCCTCATGCAACACCACATGTAAACGGGCAAATAGCTGTCAATATATTTTAATACGATTTATACATAAATACATGCAAGCGCCATGTGTGTATATATATGTGTATAATTAATTAATTATGTATTTATTCAATATAGTGAACGTAGACGACGTCATACGGTTCCTGTCAGCACAGTCTATAATAATACAACAGGCTGTTTACTGCATGCAAGAATCAATATATATGGAACTGTATGATAGGGAGACATGGACGACGATACACCGCTTTGGTATTTGTTTGGCATGAAACTACTACATTAACGCGGTATTACGTTATTTATTACGTTATTGCCGCAAAAAAACAAATACTTAATCATAGCTCCTCAGTAGAGGAATGCTACCAGATAGCATCATCATGCACAGCGTGCAAATTATAGCATTACAAACGTGTATTTACTCATTACAGACACGACGCTTTATTAAGAAATCTATTGCATACCAGACCGCACCACGATTATGAGATTCTTTGACAGATAGTGATTTGACAGACATACGGTAATGAATGGCATTCATCGTGAATATTCGAATAGTGATTCGTGGACGAGGGTATTTGATCTGTGTACGAGGTACAATTTTTTGACGTTTGCAATATGTAGAGTAGCGCCATAGCAGTCTAGGCGGATATCCTACCGAGGCGGCTGCTGGAGAGGATGGACGCGATTGCAGGACGAGCCGCCGTCTTCCGTTTCCTGGCTGGGCAAGTCCGACTGAACGGGCTTCAAGTCACGTGACGGTCCCGGCTGCTGCGACGTCGGCGGTTGATTTGACGGAAATTGACTGACGATGGCAGTTTCCTCCATCACCACGTGCTTGAGCCGGAACAGTAATCGCAGTCCCTGTCGGAAGCGCTCGCCGGAGGACGTGCTGACGTATAAGAAAAAGTTAATAGCAAAGTTGATCTGATAGAAGAAGAAGAAGAAGGCGCGCGTCCACTTGAGACGCAACTTGCCAATCATGAACCCCGTGTAGCCGTCGTGCCCTGGCGCAACCTTCGCGACGGAGTTGTAGATGAGCTCGATGGTCTGCGTGACACCTAGCGGCGAGATGAGGAACAAGTAGACGCAGGAGACGGTGAGTAGCAGCCGGGTAGCGCGGTCGTCGCCCTTCAGCTTCACGTTTCTGTTATTGGTCATCGCGGCGCGCTTGGATCGATTCTTTTGCAGCTGCACCAGGATGCGCATGTTCAGCGCGAAGATGATGATCGTCGGCAGCCAGGTGTTGAAGGCGACGTAGAAGTATACCGCCTGTCGGTACGTCTTCCGGCTCGTGCGGCACGCCTTGTAGCCGAACACGCTGTCGCCCTCGAAGCCTGAGATGAAGATCTTGTGCATCGAGAAGGCGATGACGGCGACGGAGACGCCGATGACGGTGAGGCGAGTGCGCGCGTACGTCACTAGCTTCGACTTGAGCGGGTAGACGATGAGCAGGTAGCGTTCGATCGTGAACGCGACGATGATCCAGACGCTGAGCAGGTTGAAGACCTCGACGAAGACGGCCTGCGCCTTGCAGAGATGCTCGCTGTCCTGGTAGGTGCGGTTGATCGACTCGTACTGGCCGCGTAGCACGCCCACCATGAAGTTCATGACGAGCGCCAGTGAGTCGTAGAAGGCCAGCATTCGCAGGTAGAGGTTCGACGACGAGTTACGCATCGACTTCTGCGACAGGACGCACAGCGACAGTATGTTGCAGCCGAGGCCGACGATGATGATGAGCGCCGTGCCGTAATGCAGCAACCACTGCACGAAGTGAACGAACGGCTCGAAGTGCAGCCAGAACTGGAGCAGTTCGCACGGCCACAGCTCCTGTATGTCCTTGGTTAGCGCAGCGTTCTCCAGCCCATCGACGATTGTGTGCGACACTTGACATTCGGCTAGTTCAGTGTCGGTAGATGGCAACTGCGTCGAATTGCGGTACTCGATCCCGTTCATCGTCAGCTACGGCTATTTCCCGGACAGAGAGATGCCGCATAAATTCTCACAGTTTTCCTGCAATCGTAGAAGAAGAATCTACGCATTAAAATATAAATGTATATAAATTTAATTACTCTAAATTAGATCTATAACCAACCCATGGAAATATAGTATCGATTAAAATGCTTATACTCACTTATATACTCACACGCACAGACACACGTACGCCCACGCACGCGCACACTCAACACGCGCGCGCACACACACACACACACACACACATACACACACACGCACACACATCCACACACATACACACACACACACAGGCGCGTAGCCAGGATTTTATTTTGGGGGGGGGGCACGGGCAATGTATGACAAGTGAAACACACGATCTCCGTTCCGCGAAAAAAAGTGTGCGATTCAGGGTCGTAATCCGTACGAGGGATGGGTGGGGGGTGATCGGCGATAGCCTCCATACTAGCACGATGTAAGCCCACAAATTATTACGACATTAACAGCGCGCGATCGCGCACGCACGAACATACATAGACCACACACATACACGCACACACACACCACACACACACAATCACCACACACATCGTCATACACTTATTAATGTACATACATGCAGCACTGCCAAATTTTGAACCGTACTGTTTGGGCAGTGCCGTCAGGTAGGCAGATGCTAGGGGGTCTTGGGGGCATCCCCCCGGAAATTGTTGAACACTTTAAGCATTTTCTATGCAATTCCTGAGGCATACTGTGCGCATATTTTGTCTGAGTGCAATTTGTATGCTCCTGTTTTTCTTCCTTACGATCCTCTTATTGTTTTCTCTTCTCTCTCTCTCTTGTTTTTGGCCGGTCTTTTTTGGGGGCGACCGCCCCACCGCCCCCCCCCTGGCTACGCGCAGCTGCAACACAACCACACACACACCACCAAACCATGCCGACACACGTACACCAACACACATACCACACACACATTCCACACTTCATTAATCACAAACCGCAACACACATCCACACCACACACGCACACACACAATACACAAACACCCACCACACACACACACTACACCACAGCACACAACACACAATCCAACACATTACTCACACACACCGCACCCATCACACACACACCACACAGCACACAACACACACACACACACACACACACACACACACACACACAAACACGCGCGCGCGTCTGTGCCTGCATCCTGCGTCTGCGTATCGAGGGAGTATTTAGTTACATGCGCTCACGGTGAGCTCCATATAACAACCACCGGTATACTTATTATCCGTAATGCTAAAAGTAAGCTGTATGTGAAAATTTCTGCCCACATACATAATTATGGTTCATTTTATCACATAAGACTCGAATCATAATCAATCCGCGAATCATTGGATCCGATATCATACCGCGTGTCCCTATTACAGCCAGCCCGACACGGACAGCCTAATTAAAACTACTTCTCAGTACCTAACATTGAAAGACTAGCAATATATATTCTTATTGCCGCTTACGCTTCACTAGTCTTACTTGGCATTCTATATCTTTATTTCTGTCTGATTCCATTCCGACATTTAAAACAAGCCCAAGGTCACTACTCCTATCGCTATCGTAATCCTATACACAGAAAGATTATTTATAGAAATTTACGAGTTATAAATTCTCATGATATATAAAATCTCCAAAGTTCATTTAGTAAACTAACTGTTTCGTTCACGCAGCACACTACAGAAATATCATATTTCCTATTGTTCGATCCCCTCCCGGCGTAATAACTACAGGTGGTTGTTATATATAGCGCCCATCTGCGCTCAAATGCCAATGAAAAGAGATCTGTACAGCATAATACTAACTGTCTGGTTAGCTTGTAGTATATATTGTGACTGATATGAGAGATTTGTGTGAATTTGTGGACTTTATCAATCGACGCACAGAGATATCAGAGATATTAGAATAAGTGCCGCAGAGCGACAGCGCTCAACTGACGTGTACTGTAGCCGGGTATTCTTCTGATAAACTCACTGGCAACCGAATCAAGTGCGCCCTCTTGCCACCACGTCCGCGCTCAGAGCATATATCCAGAGAGACATGATACAAGATTGTGTGGCACAGCTTTGCTGTTGATCCTGAGCGCTGCGCGCAGATGAGACGCGCAGTTCCGCGAGATATGCGCACGCGACCGCGGGGATGTTCAAGTATGAAGCGCTGTCCGCTGACGTGCGCCAAATTCGAGGCCCGGCGGCGAATTCGCTAGCGGGACGAGTTAATCAAAGTTGACTAGACACAAAACGAGTGTGTGCCATTTTCGCGGTGGTTTGCCGGTGTGGTGTTTTAAACATAAACATTGTTCAAAACTACCCATTGTCAACTCAAAATGCTAAGAGTAGATTGTAACATTATTATTTGATATCTCTTGCTTATTATGAGCTATAATACTTATAGAAATTTATTAATTATCATAATGTAAAAATGCTCCAAAGTTGAACTAGTGCCGTTTTTCTCAAGTTATTGATAGATGGTGCTAGAGTCGGAAACGTGGCCCGGTATTAATTTTAGGATCGTATGGTTCGATTTGCAGATCGAATGATTCGATTCCAAAATTGAATCGTTTGATTTTGAAATCGAATAATTCGATCTGCGAATCGAACCATTCGATCCTGAAATTTATACCAAAATCGAACGATTTTATTCCATAATTGAATGGTTTGATTCCAAAACCGAATGGTTTGATGCCAAGATCGAATGGTTTGATTATCTTTTCTGATATAAAATTGAATAATGTAAACATTTAAAACAGGGAATTATTGTCAATTTATTGCATACAACATATGATTAAATAATCAAATATTATATGCGATAATTAAAATGTTATATGCAATAAATCAAATGTTATATGTGATAAAATCAACCATAAAATAAAAATCGAATTATGAAACAAAATACATGCCATAGTTATTCGCACCGCGGCGGTGCGGATAACAGAAAATGTGTTCTTATTCGCACCGCGGTGAATTCACAGTGCACACGCAAGCAGAAGTTAACTGATAGCCTTGACCACTGAGCTCTATCATAGAATAATATTTTATTTTTATTTTATATTTTATATTTTATATATATAAATTGAAAGGCCAAGGAGTGCCAATATTAAGCAGTTCATATAAATGTATGAGCAAGGGAGAAAATATAGGAAGAGGGAGGAGGTATATGAGGAGGGGAGAAGGTGGTACAGGAAGAAGGAGAGAAGGTAGAGGACGAGGGAGAAGGTAGTGGAGGAGAATAAGGGGAGAAGGGGTGGAAGTAGAAGAGGTAGAGAACAAGGGAAAAGGTAGTGGAGGAGCAGGGGGGAGAAGGGGAGGAGGTAGAAAAGAGGGACAGGAAGGAGGTAGACAAGGGGTACAGGAAGGAGGTCGAGGAGGAGGAGGGTAGAAGGTGGTCGAGGAGAAGGGTAGAAGGTAGTGGGGAGGAGGGGGAGGAGGTAGAGGAAGTAGAAGAGGGAGGAGGTAGAGGAGGGGAAGAATGTGGTGGAAGGGAGGGGAAGTTGGGAGATAGTGGAGAGAGGAGGCAGTGGAGGGGGAGAAGGTAGAAGAGGGAAGAGGTCGAGGATGGTGGGAGAAGGTGGAGGAGGTAGAGGAGATGGAGAAGGTAGAATAGAGAGTAGGTAGAGGATGGTGGGAGAAGACGGAGGAGGTAGAGGAGGGGGAGAAAGTGGTGGAGAAGGAGGGGGAGGAGGTAGAGGAGGGAGGAGGTAGAGGAGGGGGAGGATGTGGTGGAGGAAGACGAGGAGTGGAGAGAGAGGAAGTAGAGGAAGGGGAGAAGGTAGAAGAGGGAATATGTAGAGAATGGTGGGAGAAGGTGGAGGAGGTAGAGGAGAGTGGGAGAATGTGGAGGAAGTAGATGAGGGAGAGAGGGTGGTGGAGTGGAAGGAGGCGGAGGTGGTGGGAAAGGAGAAGGGGAAGAAGGAGGAGGAGGTAGAGGAGGGCGAGAAGGAGGAGGAGGGGAAGGAGGTGGCGGAGGAGGAGGGGGAGAAGGTGGTGAGGGAGGGAGGGAGGGGGTCGAGGTGGTAAGTGAGTGAGTGAGAGAGGGAGGGAGGGAGGGAGGGAGGGATCGAGGTGGTGAGTGAGTGAGAGGGAGGGAGGGAGGGAAGGGCGTCGAGGTGGTAAGTGAGTGAGAGAGAGAGGGAGGGAGAGAGGGAGGGAGGGATCGAGGTGGTGAGTGAGTGAGAGGGAGGGAGGGGGTCGGGGCGTCTTGTGCTCACCGACC